ACAGGGTCGGTGGGCCAATGCCTTGGCCGAGTTTGATTGCAAGATTCTGTACAAGCCTGGGAAGAGCAACATTGTGGCGGATGCGCTAAGTCGAAAAGCGAGCTTGAGGTTGGCAATATCTAGCGCAATAGCAACCTTCTAGGACGATGTGCGGACAGCATATGAGAACGATGGTCTAGCACAAGAAGTGTTGCTGAGGAATCTAGAGGCACGGGAAGCTCACCAGAGAGGTGAGCTGCCAACGGAAGAGAAAACGGGCTATGTGGAACGCAATGGACTCATCTATTACAAGCAAACGAGGGTGTATGTTCCAGAAGGGGAACTAAGGAAGGTAGCCTTAGAAGAGTGTCATGACGGACCCCTTGCGGGATACGGCGGAGTGCCCAAGACGATAGGCTTACTCAAGAGGAAGTACCATTGGCCCAATATGGCTAAGGACGTCCAAGACTATGTAAAGACATGTCTAACATGTCAGCAGGTCAAAGCCGTGACTAAGGCTAGTGGGGGCTTGTTGCAAAGCATCCCAATTCCAGATCGTCCGTGGAAATGTCTTACGATGGACTTCATCACGGGACTCCCCCCAAGCAAGGGGTTTGATGCAATATTCATGGTGGTGGACCGATTTTCAAAAATGGGTCATTTCATACACACCACAACGGAAGTGGATGCGGAAGGTGTGGCGAAGCTGTTCTTCAAACAAGTGGTTCGAGTGCGGGGAAGGCCAGAAGAGATCATCTCAGATCGAAATAAGATCTTCACTAGTAGGTTCTGGAGGACTCTCCTGGAACAATATCGCACCAAGTTGAAATTCAGCACAGCCTATCACCCACAGACAGGTATGGGGTATTAAGTCAAGTTTGGTGGCACTAACACTTCTTGACAGACAGACAAACAGAAAGGGTGAATAGGCACCTGGAGAATTATTTGCGATGCTATGTCTCAAGAGACCAGACCGATTGGGTAAGTCATTTGGGACTTGCGAAAATGTGTTATAACAACTCACCACATTTGAGTATCGGGGTGAGTCCATGGGAAGTCATCAATGGGCGAGCTATTGAAGGTCCTGTGGAACTTGGCGTGGCTAAGTATTATGGAGAGTTACCTGCAGTGGAGGCATTCACGGCGGAAAGGCTCAACATTTGGAATCTAGTGAGGGATTCCTTGGAATGTGCTCAACAAAGGCAAACCAAGTACGCAAACCAAAAGTGCCGGGATGTAGAGTTCCAAGCTAGGGAGAAGGTGTGGCTGAACACCAAGAACCTCAGGTTACCAAGTGGGATCAGCCGGTAGTTGACCCAAAGGTAAAAATGTATGTATTCCTGTAAATGAATTGATCTTCAGTTCCCTAAGCAAGTTCACAGGGCCTTACGAAATTGAGGCACAAATCGGTAAAGTGGCTTACTAACTCCGACTTCCTCAAGAGATGGGGAAGATGCACCCAGTGTTCCACATGAACTTACTCAAGCCGTACTTTGAGAATCTGCTTCGCAAGGACCAAGGAAGACCTTTACCTAAGGTTATCCAAGGGGAAGAGGAATACGAAGTCGAGGCCATCCTCAATGCGTGCAAGAGCAAGCGACAAGGATGCAAGGTGAGAAAGTTCCATGTGAAGTGGAAAGGATTTCCACACTACGAAGCAATATGGGAACCGGAGGAGAACCTAGCGAACACACTAGATTTAGTGGAGGAATTTCTGCAAGGCAGAACTCTATATACTTATGCAAAGTTCAATTAAAAATATCAATTTGCAAAGTTGAGCAAGTGGCATGTGTTAGGACCCGAAGGCGCGCCGAAGGTAAGCTAATTAGCATGAGTTAGCTAGGTTGACCAGCCGTAGGGCACTACACCCGACTCCCCGCGGGGATGTCGAATCCATAGACGTATTCTACGGAGGTTGGGTTCGAGTCCCAACCCCCTAGCAAAGCAAGGCTGGGTTCAAGTCCCGACCCCATACTAGGGCGTGGTGAGGTGAGGAGTATAGGGACACCTATACTCTGTTGTCATGGGCTCTTGGCCGGGGAGGCTAATTTAGGCACACCGCTAAGTGGGGGGATGCCCAGGAGACATGGTCAACAAGTCGTAGGATAAAAAGAGACGTTCGATGTGGGCATCGAACTTCTTCTATGGGTGGTGGAGTTGTAAGAAACCGACTCCCCGAGAGGTTGTAGGCTAAAGGATCCCCGAAAGCATGACCAAAATGACAAAGAGTTCATCGAATGAGACTAAGTCGAAGATCGAGTCCAAGACCGACTCTGAGACCGAGTTCGAGATAGAGTCCGGGATCGAGCCGAGTCCGAATCGAAGACCGAGTTCGAGACCGAGTTCGAGACCGAGTTCGAGACCGAGTTCGAGACAAAGTCCAAGATCCAAATTGGGTCCAAGACCGAGTATGAAGTCGAGTCCGAGATTGGGTCCAAGATCGAGTCCAAAATCGAGTCCGAGACCGAGTCCAAAGTCGGGTCCGAGATCGAATCTAAGACTAAGTCCAGATACTAATACGGGTCAAGGGGTGAAAGCCCAAAGCGTGCATCTCCCAGGGGGGGGGGGGGGCTATAGGGGGTTCCAAAAGTATAGTAGGGATAGTGAGGTCCAGGAACCAGTCTTGAAGGAACTCTCCAGTGGTGCTTCCAAACTGACTTGAGGTTGAGACTGGGGCCGAGGGGCCTTGGGTGGGAGTGAGCATGGGCTTGGGTGGTGCCGAAGGGGCCACCCAGGGAAGTGCTCAAGAGCAGCTCCCACTCCCGAAAGGGAAACCGACTACGGTGCTCCCGGCTCATATAGAGTGGTGCCCCACTTGAGTACTTTGTGGCTCATTGGTCCTCGCCCTTCCTAGGGACTTGGGCCTTCCCTTCGGGATGGAAGTGGGGGGGTAGAGGTACCCATACCGGGCTATTAGGCCACGGTGTTTCACCCCGACGTCCTGAAGCAAGTGTTGCACCCAAGGCTTGGGATTTAGAGGGTCCCATGATCAAGTCTTGATGTACCAAGGGGTGTTAGGAACCTGGAGGTTTGGTGTGTTTGGCTGCTTGTGCTTGCGGGGAGTGTAGCCAAACCTTAAGTCTAGTCTAACCTGGGGAGGGGGATTGGGAGAGATTTGGGGATCCGTAGATGGATGGCTAACACTCTATTGCTCATGCAGTGAGTAGTTGAAACCAAGTAGGGCCAAGTAGGAGCTGGTACAATAGGCGGGAACCTTGGCGAGGGAACTTAGCACAAGCCAAGGCGGTGTTGGTCGGATAGACGAGGTAAGTTGGCAAATTGAAAAGGAAAAATTTGTGGCTTACATTAGTCTTAAACTCTATCTTAGACTCGGTCTTGAACCTGATCTCAGATCTTAGACTCGGTCTCAAACTCGGTCTCGAATTCGGCCTTGGACTTAATCTCAAACTTGGTTTTATCCAATGAAATCTTTATCATTCTGATTGTGGTTTCAGAGATCTTTTAGCTTACAACACCTTGGGGAGTTGGTTCTTTACACATGGTTTCATCTAGTGAGTGCTCATACTTGCCCAAATCCTTCACCATCTATTTAACTTTTTTTACACATTATTGTAGCTACTTAGTAATATGGTATCTTTGGTCATTTAATATTAAATATATATACAATATATTCATATTTCATCCCATGATTATATGCGCTACACTTATGCATTTTCTTACCATATGTGCTATATGTCACATGACACTCTAGTGATGTTTGGGTAAAAAATGACCGAGTTATTAAAAGGAGACTCCTCATCTAAAACACTTCCACATTTTTTAGTTTGCATTTGAGTTGAGCAAGACTCCATTCTCTATATTGTTAATCTAAGAGTCAGTAAAAACTATATGGTTTTTACTAAAAGTAAAAATCATATGGTTTTTACTAAAAGTAAAAACTATACAATTTTTTATCTGATGCAAGATTTGCATCACTCTACAAGTCTTTATTGCATCCCCATCATGTGTGCCAAGCTCTAGAAACTTTTCATGCTTGACCTTAAGTAGATCCTCACTAATATAACTAAATGGCAACTGCACAAAGCAAATCATTTAGTTTTGACCCACATAGCTCCTTGAATCAAGCATGAGTCATAGTCATTCTTGTGAATCTAAAAAGGGAAGAAAATAGCAATAGCAGAAATAGTGGAAGAAAAGCAAAGTAAAAACTTAGTTAATAGCAGCATTAATGGTATATAGTGTAACTCTTATTACTTATATACTACCAATCCTCACATAATTAATATGGTCAGCCTTGCTTAATAAGATGCTCACTAAGCACAGTCACTACTAGGGACTATGTCTAAACTCTCAATCCCTATTAATCACAAGACCCCTTGAGCATGGCCACTATAATATGTGCGTATGAAGCAAGGCATTCATGCCAGATTTTATAAAAGACCCTTCTTGCCATGAAAATACACTCGTGCATATTCTCTCTTGCCACAAAAATACACTCACACATATTCTCTCATTTTCCTTTTGTTCATAAGAGAAAAGAGAAAAGTGGTGGATGTGGTGGCTGAGCTATTTTGGTATGTGTTGTATATGGAGCAAATACAAAGTGACAACCGTGTAGACTATGAGAAGAAGACTTTGATATGTTAGAAGTTTTAGTTGAATTTCAAGGAATTCTTACATCTAATGGAAAGTTTACTACAAATTTTTAGTCTTTGACCAGAAAAGATCTTTCATCCACGCTAGAAAAGACATGGGAACAACACTTTGAATACTAGTGGGAGGATACTTTGAAAGTGTGTTCATTTACACCCCTGCATCACTATGATATATATCAATATATATCATTGATCTGCAATCCTAATTTTTGGATGAGATGGCTGCAAAATTATCTCAATGTTTTCTGCTATTGCTGAGCATTCTTTGCTACAAGAGCATGGGATGCAGAGGAGCTAAATGCACTTTTGGCATTCAAAGAAAGTGTTACAAATCACAGCAGCAGCAACATATTCTGTCAAATTGGAGTTAGCGCAACTTTCAAGAACTATGCTTCTCTTGGGCAGGAGTTTCCTGCAACAACATCACTGGTCATGTTCAAGAGCTCGATTTCTCTGGTTGGATGCTTGGGGAAAACCTCAACTCCCTCTTCTCTGGGCTTACTCATCTCACTACCATCGACCTCTCTATTAATTCTATTCAAGGAGAAATTCCTGCCCTCATTGGTAAGCTACACAATTTGACATCTTTGAATCTCCATAGCAACAATTTATCTGGGAGCATTCCAATCGAAATTGGAAAGCTCTTGAAGCTCAAGGATATGAAATTATCGCATAATTTTCTCAGTGGGAACATTCCAAAAGAGTTTGGATGCTTGAAAGACCTTCAATTTCTCAGCCTCTCCTACAAGTTCTTCACTGGGAACATTCCAAAAGAATTTGGATGCTTGAAAGACCTTCAAGTTCTCAGCCTCTCCTACAATTTCTTGACTGGCCCACTCCCAAAGGAGCTTGGTTCACTAGAACAATTGCAGTTTCTTGCCCTTGGCATGAATAATATCACTGGAGAAATTCCAGCTGAGCTGGGAATGCTGAAAAGACTTGAAATACTTGGCCTAGATTTCAACTTTCTGAACAGCACTATACCAGAGTCTCTTGGCAACTGCTCATCACTGGTATAAATACGTATTAGTCAAAACCCCCTTCTTCATGGCAAAATACCAGCTTCCTTAGGCCAATTGAAGAACCTTGAATATTTCTCTATGTTTGACGTTACAAGTGTTAGTGGGCAAATACCTCCTGAGGTTGGCAACTGCACCAAACTCCAATGGTTTGACATCAATGGAGACTTCTCCATAGAACCACATATAAATGGTCCAATTCCCTTGTCACTTCTTCAAATATCATCACTGACAACACTCGCACTCAATCATCTCAATCTTACATACCTGCAATTGCCTCAAGAATTGTGGAATATGAGTCAACTTCAATATCTTAGCATCGCTAACACTGGGTGTGAAGGGACACTTTCTTCACAAATTGGTGACATGACTAATCTCACTTATTTGAATTTGGGGACAAACACTCATATCAAGGGAGTCATACCGGAGGAGATAGACAGATGTGAGAGATTGATGCATCTTTCTCTCGATGGTAACATGTTAAGTGGCCACATCCCACATTCGCTGGGAAAACTACACTACTTGAAGTACCTTAAACTGGGAAGCAATGGATTGAGCGGAGAGATCCCTTCATCTCTAGTGCAACTCTCCAACCTTGAGGCTTTACAGTTGGAGAATAATATTTTTACTGGAAAGATGCCTTTGTCTCTAGGACAACTCAAAAGCTTACAACTTTTATATCTATTCAATAACAGCTTCGTGGGAAGGATTCCACAAAGCTTGGGGGACATGAAGGGCCTCCAAAAACTGGATATTTCAGCCAATTCTCTTGAGGGGGAAATCCCAGTTGAACTGGGAAATTGCACTTCTTTGCAGCTGCTCGAATTGTCAAAGAACAACTTGACGGGAGAAATTCCATGGGAGGCATTTGAAACGTTGTGCAAGCACAACCTTCAAACCCTTGGAATGGAAAGGAACAAGCTGGTTGGACATATACCACGTGTACTGCTTGAGAACTGCACAAAGCTGGAGCGGCTGAAGCTCGGGAATAACTCTCTCAAAGGCACCAGCATTGACGTGAGTAAGCTTCCAGCACTGAAGATTCTCTCACTCGCAATGAATCATCTCGGAGGCAGATTTCCTTTGCTTCCCTCTGGCAACACTAGCTTGGAGTTGATTGATCTCAAGAGAAACAACTTCTCTGGTCAGCTTCCTGCATCTCTTGCTAACCTCCACCAATTGCGAGTTTTAAGCTTGGGACGCAACCATTTTGAAGGAGTCCTGCCAGATTTCATTTGGAGCATGAAACAGTTGCAAGTGTTGGATGTTTCGGGCAATCACTTCCATGGAGATCAATTCATTAAGCCATCTCGAGGGTTTCAAGCCATCATTCCCCACTGGGAATGATGGGGATGGGGATCGCCTTTACCAAGAGTTGTTCCTGCAAATCAAAGGACGAGAGAATATAGGCTATGAATATGTTTTGAGGACAACCACTCTGCTGGACTTGTCATCCAACTCCTTGAGTGGAGAGGTTCCACCAAACCTTGGGGATTTAAGCGGCCTTCGATTTCTCAACTTGTCACACAACAACATCTCTAGTAGGCTTCCCAGAACACTTGGCAAGCTCAAATTGCTGGAGCAACTGGACATGTCAGACAATCACTTGTATGGAGAGATTCCAGTGGAGCTTGAAGAGCTGAACACTTTGTCATCTCTTAACCTGTCATCTAACACACTTAGTGGACGCATTCCTACGGGTGGTCAGTTCAACACATTCGTCAACTCAAGCTATGCTGGGAATCCAAACTTGTGTGGAAGGCCGCTGAGCAAAGCATGCTCTCAACAAAGAGTTGTCAATCCTGAGGATGATGCGGATTGCCAAGAAGCAAGATCTGGATGGTGGGACGAGAATGTGGATCCAATTGCATTTGGAGTTGGCTGCTCCATTAGCTTCTTTTAGCATGTAATTAATATGGTCATCCTTGCTTAATAAGATGCTCACGAAGACTACTGGGGACTGTGTCCAAGCTCTCAAGCCCTATTAATCGCAAGACCCCTTGAGCATGGCCGTATGAAGTAAGGCGTTCGAATGGCCGCCACGAAAATAGTCTTCTCTCTTTTTCCTTTCGTCCGTAAGTGAAAAGAGAGAAGTGATGGCTGAGCTATTTTGGTCTTACGACCGTATAGACTACGACAACGAGGACGATGACTTGGAAGGTCAACCGTCCGACCGCGGCCTTACATCACGACAAACACCTTTCGAAGTACTTCTCATAAACACTTTTTGGATGCGCTTCTTATATACTTTATTTCCTGTGAAGTTCCAAGCTACTTGTGATCGATGAACGCGGCCGCCTATGCCCGGCTCATCAAATCCTACACCGTCTCTCGCGATCTCGTCCAGGGCAAGTGCGTCCACGCCCAGATCCTCCACTCCCATCTCGCCACCAACACCTTTCTCACCAATCTCATCGTCGAGATGTGGTCGTCTGCATGACAGGCGGAAATACTCACCACTATACTGTAATCTTGATTATCAAGGTTAAAACTAATCTAGAATGTTTATCTGATAACATGTTTGTAGTCTGTCTCCTTTGCAATGAGCCTCTTACTAGTGTGCTCTATCATTTGGATCCCTTGATCTCTTTTGCAATGAATCCTTTGCTCCTGGCACTCACAGCAACAAAAGAGGCAATGAATGACAAGCAGGCAATGGATGAGCATGAGCTTTTGCTTCGTTTGCAGTCGTGTAGGGATCTACGGGCAGCCGAGGTGCTCCACGCCCATGCTCGATCGATTGCCTGCTCTAATGATACATTCCTCCTCAACCATGTCATCTAGATCTATAGCAACTGTGGTGCCACCTACCATGCACAACTCCTATCGAGCTCAAGGATTCTTTCTCCTGGGATTTTATGCTCATTGCCTACGCATGCAACTCTCAGTTGTGAGAGGCCAAGGCCTTGTTAGGTGGAATCTCGTTTCTTGGAACGTTATGTTGTGTATATATGCCTAGATTGGGCATTTGGAGGGCACAAAAAACCTCTTTGATAGGATGCAAAACTACAACCTTATATTGTTAAATACTTTGATGTTTGTCAATGACCACACAAAAAAGGCTAAACAATTGTTTGATTCTATGCCTTAAAGAATCTAATGGAGTAGCCAACTCCAAATGCAATTGGATCCACATTCTCATTCTACTATCTAGATTTATACAACATTTGTGAATGCATATATATCTATATAGGTTTCTTCAGTTATGGCACTGTGGTGGTTTCAATACCTTTTATAGCAATTTATACAATATAGAAACCTTTAGTTTGAAAATGATATAAATATTTGCCTCTAGAATTACTAAAGATGTGGTTAGTTTCTCTGCCAGAACTACAATATTAATTTTAATATGTAACATTGTAATTGTATTAGTGTCTTTTACCGCATATGTTAAAACCATATTGAAAAGTATATAAATATTTATCACAAATTTTACTGAAGTTGCAGATGGTTTCTCCAATAAAATAATGACCTCATTAAAGTGTAATTCTTTATTAATCTCAAATTGAAGTTACTCATTTTTTACAAACATTTATTAAATTAGAAAATATATAAAACTTGAAAGTAATATGTCATTCTTCTTTTGTCATTTGCAATATGTTCATTAAATTATTTGACATGTGATTCCATCTCCTCCTCCAATATAGTTTTTTTTTTATAACCTTTATAGTTTTTTATATATAGCAAGTTCATAAAAATATTGAAGTATTTCAAGAGTGGTGGTGTACTCATTCTAGCTGTTGTAGCTTTTATTAAATTTATTATTATACTTTACAGTTTTAATATAAGATTTCAGCCAATAAATATCCTTCTACATTTGAAAACAATTACAGAAATTATATGGTTTTAATTTAGAAAGTTTATACTTTAGTTTTTAGTGATGAACAAAATTGTGAAATCCCAACCACCTTGCTAATGAATGACATGTGCAAATCATCCAATGGCTTTAATTTTAACAAATATATTTTATAAGAATGATTTTCATGTTGTTTTTTATCCATTTGCATTAGATTCTTAAATCCTAAAATATGTAAAATTGCATTATAGTTTCATCTAGCAAGTGCTCATACTTGCCCAAATCCTTCACCATCTACTTAACTTTTTTGAAACATTATTATAGACTAATTTTTTTCTTAGTAATATGGTAGCTATGGTCACTCAATTTTTTGATCATATAAATATTCAATGAGTAGCTAGATATAGTTAGCCTTTGCTAAAATATGCATCATTGTAATTCAAAAACACTTGCAGAAGCTTATGTTACAAGTTATTTCCCTTTAGTGGTGCATAGAATCCTTTTCTTATGCATTTTCTTACCATTTGTATCTTGTGTCACATGACACTCTAATGATATTTGAGTAAAAAACCACCACTTATTAAAGGGAGATTCCTCATCCAAAACACTTCCACACTTTTTGATTTGCATTTAAGTTGAACAAAAGTTTGCTTTCTATCCAGTAAAATCCATATAATTTTTACTAAAAGTAAAAACTATACAATTTTTTACCTGATACAAGATTCTTCATCACTCTACAAGTCTTTATTGCATCCTGTGTGGCAAACTCTAGAAACTTTTCATGTTTGACCTTAAGTAGATCCTCACTAATATACCTAAGTGCCAACAGCACATAACAAATCATTTAGTTTTGACTTACATAGCTCTTTAAATCAAATATAAGTCATAGTCATTCTTGTGAATATAAAAAGGGAAGAAAACATCAATAGAAGAAATAGTGGAAGAAAAACAAAGTAGAAACTTAATTGATAGTGGCATTCATGGTACATAATGCAACTCTTCTTACTTTTACTGCTAATCTTTATATAATTAATATGGTCAACCTTATTTAATAAGATGCTCCCTAAGCATAATCACTGGGACTATGTCTAAACTCAAGACCCCTTGAGCATGGCCACTATAATATGTGTGTATGAAGCAAGGCATTTATGTCAGCTTTTATAAAAGACCCTTCTTGCCACAAAAATACAGTCACACATATTCTCTCTTGCCACGAAAATACACTCACATGTATTCTCTTATGTTCCTTTCATTCATAAGAGAAAAGAGAAAAAGTGGTGGATGTGATGGCCGAGCTCTTTTGGTATGTGTTGTACCCATATAGACTACCAGAAGAAGACTTTTGATATGTTAGAAGTTTTAGTTGAATTTCAAGGAATTCTTACATCTAATGGGACATTTTCAGTCTTTAACCAGAGAAGATCTTTGATCCACGCTAGAAAAGACAACACATTGAATACTAGTGGGAGGATACTTTGAAAATGTGTTCATTTGCACCCCTGCATCACTATGATATATATATCAATATATATCATTGCTCTGCAATCCTAGTTTTTAGGTAGTAAATGGCTATAAAATTATTTCAATGTTTTCTACTATTGTTGAGCATTCTTTGCTGCACAAGAGCTTGGGAAGTAGAAGAGCTGAATGCACTTTTGGCTTTTAAAGAAAGTGTTACAAATCATAGCAGCAGCAGTGTATTTCTGCCAAACTGGAGTAAGAGTAACTCTCAAGAACTATGCTTCTTTTGGGCAGGAGTTTCCTCCAACAACAACACTGGTCATGTTCAAGAGCTCAATTTCTCTGGCTGGATGCTTAGGGGAAACTTTAACTCCCTCTTCTTTGGGCTTACTCATCTCACTACCATCTACCTCTCTGCTAATGCTATTCAAGGAGAAATTCCTTAGTAAGTTACACAATTTGACATCTTTGAATCTCCAAAGCAACAATTTATCCAGCAACATTCCAATTGAAATGGGAAAGCTCTTGAAGCTTAAGTACATGAAACTAAGAGATAATTTTCTCAGTGGGAACATTAGAAAAGAGTTTGGATGCTTGAAAGACCTTCAAGTTCTCAGCCTCCCCAACAATTTCTTGACTGGCCCACTCCCAAAGGAGCTTGGTTCACTAGAACAATTGCAGCTTCTTGCCCTTGGCATGAATAATATCACTGGAGAAATTCCAACTGAGCTGGGAATGCTGAAAAGGCTCGAAATACTTGGCCTCGATTACAACTCATTGAACAGTACTATACCCGAGTCTCTTGGCAACAGCTCATCACTGGTACAAATACATGTTGGTCAAAACCCCCTTCTTCATCCCAAAATACCAACTTCTTTAGGCCAATTGAAGAACCTTGAATATTTCTCTATGTTTGATGTTACAAGCGTTAGTGGGCAAATACCTCCTGAGGTTGGCAACTGCACCAAACTCCAATGGTTTGACATCAATGGAGACTTCTCCATAGAACAACATATAAATGGTCCAATTCCCTTGTCACTTCTTCAAATACCATCACTGACAACACTGGGACTCTATCATCTCAATCTTACACACTTGCAATTGCCTAACGAATTGTGGAATATGAGTCAACTTCAATATCTTAGCATGGGTAACACTGGGTGTGAAGGGACACTTTCTTCACAAATTGGTGACATGACTAATCTCACTTATTTGAATTTGGGGACAAACACTCATATCAAGGGAGTCATACCGGAGGAGATAGACAGATGTGAGAGATTGATGCATCTTTCTCTCGATGGTAACATGTTAAGTGGCCACATCCCACATTCGCTGGGAAAACTACACTACTTGAAGTACCTTAAACTGGGAAGCAATGGATTGAGCGGAGAGATCCCTTCATCTCTAGTGCAACTCTCCAACCTTGAGGCTTTACAGTTGGAGAATAATATTTTTACTGGAAAGATGCCTTTGTCTCTAGGACAACTCAAAAGCTTACAACTTTTATATCTATTCAATAACAAATTCGTGGGAAGGATGAAGGGCCTCCAAAAACTGGATATTTCAGCTAAGTCCTTCGAGGGGGAAATGCTGGTTGAACTGGCAAATTTCACTTCTTTGCAGCTTCTCGAATTGTCAAAGAACAACTTGACGGGAGAAATTCCATGGGAGGCATTTGAAACGTTGTGCAAGCACAACTTTCAAACCCTTGGAATGGAAAGGAACAAGCTGGTTGGACATATTCCACGTGTACTGCTTGAGAACTGCACAAAGCTGGAGCGGGAATAACTTTCTCGAAGGCACCAGCATTGACGTGAATAAACTTCCATCATTGAAGATTCTCTCACTCGCAATTAATCATCTTGGAGGCAGATTTCCTTTGCTTCCCTCTGGCAACACTAGCTTGGAGTTGATTGATCTCAAGAGAAACAACTTCTCTGGTGAGCTTCCTACATCTCTTGCTAACCTCCACTAGTTGTGAGTTTTAAGCATGGGAGGCAACCATTTTGAAGGAGTCCTGCCAGATTTCATTTGGAGCATGAAACAGTTGCAAGTGTTGGATGTTTCCGACAAACACTTCCATGGAGAGCTTCCTGTCAATTCATTAAGCCATCTCGAGGGTTTCAAAGTCCCCACTGAGAATGATGGGGATGGGGATCGCCTTTACCAAGAGTTGTTCCTGCAAATCAAAGGACGAGAGGATATGGGCTATAAATATGTTTTGAGGACGACTACACTGCTGGACTTGTCATCCAACTCCTTCAGTTCAACACATTCGTCAACTCGAGCTATATTGGGAATCCAAACTTGTGTGGAAGGCCACTGAGCAAAGCATGCTCAACAAAGAGTTGTCAATGCAGATCGCCAAGAGGCAAGATCTGGATGGTGGGACGAGTTAGCATTTGGAGTTAGCTTCTTTTTGCACGTAATTAGTATGGTCAGCCTTGCTTAATAACATGCTCACGATTGTGATGTAGGTGGTCTTGAACCACCGGGATTGAATGACCGCCACAAAAATAGTCTTTTCTCCTTTTCCTTTCGTTTGTAGGAGAAAAGCGATGGCTGAGCTATTTGGTCTTTGCACCGTGTAGACTACGACAACGAGGAGGATGACTGGGAAGGTCAACCGTCACCTCCTTTCGAAGTACTTCTCATAAACTCTTCTAAACTCCTTTCTTCTTATATACTTTATATCTTGTGAAGTTCCATGGCTCCTTATGATCGATGAACGCGGCCACCTATGTCCGGCTCATCAAATCTTACACCGTCTCTCGCGATCTCGTCGTCCACGCCCAGATCCTCCACTCCCATCTCGCCACCAACACCTTTCTTGCCAATCTCGTCGTTGAGATGTATGGCAACTGCGGGCGATGCGCGAGCGGTTTTTCACTCCCTGCCCTCGCCCAATCTCTTGTCCTGGAATATCATCATCTCGGCGTGTGCCGCGAATGGGGATTTCTTCGAGGCCATGCGCCTCTTCCACGCCACAGAGCTTGGCCACATAGGAGAAACAAGGTCTATTTTTGAGGATTTGCCACGGCGAGATCCAGTATCCTGGACTTACCTGCTTCAAGCATATGCCACACAGGGGCATCCACTGCTGGAAAAACTGACGCAAAAGTTATGTTGATCGTATGTCAAGATGCAAGCGAAAGAGGTTTTTGCCTAGATGCGCGAGAGGGATGAGCGGCCTGGAACGCGATGACCGAGGCGGATCAGGCCAAGGAGCTCTTCGATCGGATGGACCACCGGTGCTGGAACTCCTGGGACACGCTGCTTCAGGGGTTTGTGGCCGATGGATCCGTGGAGCACGCCAAGGATCTGTACGATCGGATGTCCCAGGACGGGGTTCACCGTGGACGTTGATGATTCAAGAATTTGCCCAAAGCTGGCATTTTGAGAATGCCAAGGACATTTTCACTCACATGGCACAGAGCGATGTGATTGTGTGGACTGTTTATCTGGCCGTGTTCTCGAAGGAGGGAATATTTTACTTTGCTACAGGAGTTTTCGAGAGAAAATTACAGGCAAATCTTGTCTCTTGGGCTGCAATCGTTGCAGCAAATGCCCAAAACGGGGATCTTGGACGCGCGAAAGAGCTGCTTGATTGCATGCCCGAAAGCACTGTCTTCTTCCTGCCCTCTTCGACTCAATGCAGGAAAGAGATACTCTTGGACCGCGCTCGCAACAGTTAATGCCCACGCGGGGCATCACGCCGCCGTCCAGCTGCTCTTCACATCGATGCTGCTCGACGGGATCAAGCCGGACGAGCTGACGTTCGTGTGCCTGCTCTCGTCGGTGGCCTACACGGGCATCCTGGACGAGGTCCGAGAGAGGTTCATGGCAATGGTGGCGGACAATTTCGTGGCAGCACTACTGCTGCCTCATCGCAGCGCTGGCGAGGGCGGGGAGGCTGGATGACACTCTTGTCAGCGTCAAGAAACGACACTGATTTGGTGCGTGGGCGTCACGCAGCGCAGCATGTCATGAGGATCAAACCGCAAGACTCCGCATCGTACGTGCTGCTCTTCAACTTCTACACTCAGCAAGCTCTGAAAATGTAGTAATGAAATAGACTAGCAAGCTCTGAAAATGGAAAGAGCGAAAACGATTTTACGCCGTTGCCGGGGATCGAACCCGGGTCGTCCGCGTGACAGGCGGAAATACTCACCACTATACTACAACGACTTTTGCTTGTGTAATCTGGATTATCAGGGGTCAAACTAGTCGGAACAAACTGGAATGTTTATCTGATAACGTACGGCACTTTCATTGCAGTAAGACGCGTGTGTTTGTATCCGTCTCCTTCGCAATGAGTCTCTTGCTAGTGCGCTGCAATCTTTCATTTGGATCCATCGATGTCTTTTGCAATGAGTCCCTTGCTCGCGATCGCTCTGGGCGTCCCGGCACTCACAGCGCTCTTCTACCTATGCAATCGCCTCCACTTGGCTAGGAGCGCGAAACTGGACGAAGAAGCCAGGAGCATTCTAATGGCGCAGCCCCGTGAGCGCGCTCCATATCCATCTCCGCCAAGGCAAGCGCAGTTCTACCAAGAAGAATGGACTGACGAGGAAGACGATGATTTCGAGGGAGCTGGGCCACTACAAACCTGTATTCCATCCAGGATGTATGCGATCTCACCACAAGAACTTCAATGTCGGTGTGGATCTCTCGCAGGTAAGATCTAATTAAGAACCATTCTAGTAGAGAATTAAGAGTTTTTTTTACCAAGTAGTAACCAAAAGAGGCAATGAATGACGAGCAGGCAATGGATGAGCCGGGACGAGCTTTTGCTTCGTTTGCAGTCGTGCAGGGACTTACGGGCAGCCGAGGCGCTCCACGCCCGCGCTCGATCGATCGCCCGCCATGAGGATATATTCCTTCTCAACCATGTCATCCAGATGTTTGGCAACTGCGGCGCTGCCTACCATGCACGGCTCGTCTTCGATGCCATCGAGCCCAAGGATTCCTTTTCCTGGGATTTCATGCTCATTGCCTACTCACGCAGCTCCCGGTTGCGAGAGGCTAAGGCCTTGTTCGATGCGATGCCCCGGTGGAATCTCGTCGCCTGGAACGTTATGCTGTGCCTGTATGCCCAGACTGGGCATTTGGAGGGCGCAAAGAACCTCTTTGATGGGATGCAAAGCTACGACCTTGTATCGTTAAATGCCTTGATTTCTGCTTACGCTATCAATGGCCACACTATAAAGGCTAAAGAGTTGTTTGATTCCATGCCTTTATGGGATATCATATCGTTTACAACCATGTTTACAGCTTATGCCCAGAGCAGGCATCATGGAATCAGCGATATTTTGCTTGATTTCATGCCGGAGTGGGATATGGTGTCACTGACAACTGTGGTATCATCTAGCAATGTTAAGGATGCAGAGAGAGCATTCGATCAAATGCAACAGACGGATGTAGTCTCCTGGAACGCTCTTTTGACGGCATATGCCCAACATGGTTACCTTTCCCGATGTGAACGGACCTACTTACAAATGCCTGAACACGATACAGTATCACACAATGTTATGCTGGCAGTGTACACGTCTTTTAGATGCATTGAAGATGCAAAATGCATCTTTGACGCTATTCCAGCGTTGAGCTTGGCATCTTGGAACACACTTCTTGCCGCATATGCCCAAAGTGGGTATCTGGATGATGCAGAACGTTTGCTGGAAAACATGCCTGCTCCCGACTGCGTGTCGTGGACAGTAATGCTTTGTGGCTATACGCAGCACGGCCGCCTCCATGACGCGCTAATCCTCTTCCACGGAATGCCCGAGCGCGATCTCGTCTCTTGGAACGCAGTGTTGTGGGCAATCACGCAGCACGGGGATCTGGATGCTGCGAGAAAGTTCTTTGAGCAATTTCCGACGACGAATCTCGTGTCATGGAGCACTCTCCTCACGGCATACGCACAGAGGGGGCGTTCCAAAGACGCGATTCAGCTGTTTGATGCGATGAAGCTGTGTGAGGAGCCGGACGAGGTGTGCTTCGTTTCGGCAATCTTGGCTTGTAGCCATGGTGGCAAGGTCCATGCCGGGAGGGCGTGGTTCGTGTCCATGGCCTTTGATTTCGAGCTTGAGGCTACCAAGCAGCACTACTGCTGCATGGTGGACTTGCTCGCCCGGGGTGGCTATTTGGACGACTCCAAGGAGCTCATCCACGACATGCCTTTTGTTCCCGATTTCCTGGAGTGGACGTGCCTTCTCGGGGCCACCAGGAGCAGCCCTCGCAAAGAAAGCTTGAGAGAAATGCGAAGAGCGTTTGATCTGGAGCCGGAGAGTGCTGCATCGTATGTGCTGGTGGCAAACGCGTCCACTCCAATGAAGTGAATTGTCACCAAATGATTTTGTTTCGCGATCAACACCACTAGCATGCTATTCACCCCGGCTGCTTCATGAGAATGTTAACGCCCAGAGCGCAATGTTGCAACTCCTTGGGATCGGAGATGGAGTTTGGCCTTGAGCTTGAGCTCGCCATCTCAACACACACATATCTCTCTTTGTTCTCTATGACTACATCCTGCTGTCGATTCAAGCATTTACACAAAACAGGCATTTTTAAATACCAGCACAATCTTACAGCCGTGTCTGCTGCATTCTTTTCCTTGCTTCCCGAATGTCAAGAAGGTCCACTTAAAACATGGTGGTGGAACTTTATAGACATTTTATATAAAACTGGCCCCCATATTTGCAGCAAATGAATGCCACACTTTGACTGTTTGCATAAGCGCACCAAATCTATATGAAACTCTAAGCCACTAAATTGATCTTTGACTAAAGTGATAGAGACAACCTCCAGAAACAGCAAATGCCCAGGGAGGGTATCACATCCACAGTTGAAGCATCGATGGGTCAAGCCCAACGAGCTCCAGTGGCATCGCTCTTTGAGAACGACTTTTAGTTCTTTCTTTTCAAAAGTAAATGCGCTTGAAAGAAGCGTTTAAGCGAGAGAGCTACAGCGTTTTCTTGACTTGGGCAAATTTCAAACAGGCGTTTCACAGCGATAAGCCCCGCGCTACGCTCCAAAGGCTCTTGGCGGATAAGAGACTTCCTTGCTTTGATTAATATCCATCCTCTTAATTCTTTGGGCTGCCAATCTTCTTTCTTTTTCTCCTCTCGAGCTAAGCAGCAAGCAAAGCGAGCCATCAATCATCATCATCCAGAGGATAAATTAATGGATGGTCGCAGCTCCGCTGCCCATCTTGCGACCAAAGGTCTGTGGCTCCTCGTCTTTGCGTGCTTCGTCTTCGCGGCCTCGGTGCTGGGCTGCCTGTGGCTCTGCTTCCGCCTCCTCGGGCAGCAAGAGATCGACGACGCAATCGCCGCGGAGGGCGACGCCGCCATCGCCGCCGCGCGCCGCATCCGAATCCCCACGCTCAATTACTCCGCCCTCGAGATCAAGAGCCCGGCCACCGCCGCCGCCGCCGACTGCTGCCCCATCTGCCTCGCTCCCTTCCGCGAGGAGCTCGTCAAGAAAATGCCCGTGTGCTGCCACTACTTCCACCCGGGATGCATCGACTTGTGGCTGGATTCGCACACCTCGTGCCCAGTTTGCCGGGAAGAGCTTCGTCTCGCGTCTGCCGAGCCCTAAAAACAGAGTGCCCGCTTCCCAAGAACCCTAAAAACAGGGGACTCTGTTTGGGTTGTGACAATGTCTACTGCCACTGACGTGCGGGAGATGAATGGGAACACGATCTCCTCCAGGCATTAAAAAATTGGTCCACAAGTTCGCTTGTTTCAAAGTCAAATCTGCAACTTGGCTGAGGGAAGAGGAGCGAATTCTTCCCTCCTCGCTGGATTGCTCCACTGGTGGCAAGCTGGGAGCCATGGAATCAACGCAATCGGCACAGGATCCAGCGAATGGCCATCACCATCGATCGCAGCACAGCACACGCGCCGCCCTCAATCAAATCGGCGCCAAGGGCGGCATCGCCATCGTCGTGGGATCGCTCTTCGCGGCGGTGGTGAGCATGTGTGTGGTGGCGTTCTGCGTGTGGATGTGGGGCAACAGGGGCGGCAGTGGATCGATCGACCAGGAGCAGCAGCAGCTGGGCGATCATCATCAGCCGCGAGCAATCGCGTCGCAGGGGCTGAGCAGCAAGGCGATCGACAGGATCCCCAAGGTGAGCCTCGCGACGCTCTTCCAGATTCGCGGCTCCAGCGACGTGTGCTGCCCGGTGTGCTTGACCGAGTTCCAGGCGTCGGATCACAGCGACACCATCTGGCTCATCCCGGGCTGCAACCATTCCTTCCACTCGGAGTGCATCCAAAAGTGGCTCGCGGCCCACACGTCGTGCCCGGTGTGCCGGGTGACGATCAAAGACTCGTTCTCTCCCACAAGATGAAAGAAGATAAACCCTAAAGTTTGAACTTTTGAGAAAAGCCTGTGGCTGCTGGGATTCGAGCCCACGGCCACAACGTGGAATTCTAACCTAAACTGCAGCCACATTAGTTACTGTGTATGAGATTGGTATGATTTGAATGATAAAATTCTTGACTTAGCTTTACCACAGCACTTTCCTGAAAAAATGTAGGCATGTTCTAAGCTATTATTTGTATGAAAAACAGGAGAGGATGTTTTGCATGGTTGATTTAGTAGCTATGTTCCTCCTCGAATCTCAATCTCCAGGCGCTTTGCCCTCTGTGGCCAGCCATCGCAATTTCAGGGTGGCGGTGATTGGGGTTCTATTGATCGCCATTCTGGTTGTGTGTATTGCCTTGGTATGGGCTTTGGTCCTATTGAGCTGCAAGAAGATGTAAGTAAAGTTCTCTCTATTTTCTCTACAATCTGAACAGAGAGACTCATGCCAAAAATCTACTATTCAGGCACAAGGCGTGCGGTGAGTGCCATGCGAGGAACCAAGTCGTAAACCCCTCGACCACAAAACCAAGTTCGTGGTGACTTTGAGAGGAACATGTAGCGAGTGATAGTGGATCAAAATTCTCGTTTTCTTCCCAGTTTTGATTCGAAACCTTGGAGCTGGCTTGTCGCATGAAAAACGTGATAGAAGGAACAAAGAGGCGCCTGCTATTCCCCAGTGCTTGGAGCTCCAGCCACCGCTCCTTTTCGCCTCCGCCGAATCCCTTCCTCTAGAAGAGAGCACTGATCGATCGGGTCATTGGATCCGAGCGAGTCGCCCAGAAATCTGGAAATCAGTGGGCAGCTTCGAAGCCACGCGTGGGTGTTGGCCACCACTGGATTCGGTCCAAAGTTCCCGGACCCCACACTCTCTAGTAGAATTGGAAACAAGAACACACACTACTCGACCGCCCCCCTTGCTGGGGCTTTCGTTCGTCGCCCAAATTGGAGCGAGCACCCACGAATTGGGAGGTGATAGTCGAAGAGAACGTTTCTATATGGAATTGGGCTTTAGATCGCACTCGACACTGGAGAAGAACACGTTCTTGTCAACGACAGGGATTGTTTTTTGAGGTGGCGGGAAATCTTTTTCTTAAAATTGCCTATAGTCTATACCACCACTAGCCGGGTTTCTGGAGCCACTGAAAGAGATTGCCATGCCATGCGACCGAAATAAACGAACCCCCCGCCGACAAGAATCTACACTCGCAAATAGCCACAGAAAAAGAGAAAAAATGAGGAATTTTCTTTCTTCCAGAATTCCAGGCGAAAAGGAGACTTGAAACTTCAATGGCGCTGTGGACCATGGCCAGCTTTGAATATCTCTCAACACGTAGCAAACATTAGCTGGATAGGGAATCTACTTTTCAGGAAATTTTACCCCGCCGCCACCTCGTTTTTTACCTGCGAGCATCTTTGTAAAAACCAGTGTATGGGGTATATTCCAGTCGCCGAATATGCCCGCCCTCGAAACCATTTAATCGGGGGTTTGCTCGAGCGAGGGAAGTGAAAGAGAGAAGGGAAGGGAAATGGACAGAGAGCTTGCTGGAGCCCATCCATCCCCGGCGCCCACGATCGCGATCGCCGCTGCCGCCGCGGGATCCTCCAGCTTCGCGATGATCCTCTCGGCGCTGCTGATCGTGGCGACGATCATGGGCGCCATGGCCTTCTGCGTGTGGATGTGTGGATGCAGCCCCGAGGACGTGATCCGGGCACGCAGCGGCGGCGCGGGCGATGGCGCGAGCGATAGATCAGCGCTGCCAGCGGCCAAGGCGGGGATGAGCAAGCAAGCGATTGAGAAAGCTCTGCCGGTGATGAGCTATGGCGCGGCGCGGATGCTGGCCTCGCAGAGGACGAAGAACCCCGAGCTGGGCTGCTGCTCCATCTGCCTGGCGGAGTTTGGCAAGCAGGACGATTTCATCCGGATGATGCCCAGCTGCGGGCATTGCTTCCACTCGGAATGTATCGCGCTGTGGCTCGTCGCGCACAGCTCCTGCCCGGTCTGCCGCCGGAGCTTGATCGGGCTGGAGACGCAGTGCTGCAAGAATTGCGGAAGAATCACGGCGAGCAATCCTCAAGCTCCTCCTCCTCCTCCATCTCCTCTACCGCCGCCGCCGCCGCCCACCACGCGTGACCTCAGCTTTAGCGAGGCTGTTGCTTGCTACTCGGTCCAATTGCAAACAGCGACAATGCCAATCCCAACTCCCGAGCCGAGCAGGACGATTCAGCTAGAAGAGGTTGTGATCGAGGTGCCACCTGATGATTTTCGTCGCGATCACCATCACTAGCGCCCAGTGAATGCTCTGTTCCTGGCGCGGAAAATTCGTGTACATTTTGTGTTGTAACAAAGAAAAGAGAAGAATTTCAGGTCTGCGATTGTCGCTTCGCCTACGCACTGATTCCCGCGCACTCAACCACTTCTCGTCCTGGGCGTGGAGAAAAAATTGGCTTTGGTCACCAGCGCACCATCGCTCTCCCTCCTCCGGTGTTTTAGGGTTCTTCGCGAGAACGAGAAAGATTGACAGAGATCTTTTAAGCTCTCTCACCTCATCCCGACCGTTAAAAGATTTATGTGGTCTCTAGGGTTTTGAAGGTCGCGCGAGCAATGGCGATTGCGTGCGTCGGCCTCGGGCGATTCGGCGCCTCCACCGCGGCCACATTCCCAGAGATTTGCAGTGGCAGCGCCATTGCCCCAGGTAGCGGAAGAGTCGATTCCTTGTCGGAGTGATTGCATTTCGTTTTCCAACTCAATTGCAATGGTCGGGCAGTCCTGGCGATTTTAAATTCTCGCAAGTCGCCAGCACTGAGGATCTAGCAATGGAGGAGGAGAGCTTTCTCTCGTCCTGTCAATAATTCTCGGGAATTGCATTGCAGGATATGCTCCTCCTCCTCGGCAGGAATTTTCTGGGAGGAAGCACGGGAGGAACAGTCGGTTTCATCGTCAGTGGAGGGCATCTTGGCTTCTCTTGTCACCTGAGACATTTCTTTCCCGGGATTTGTCGCGCACCACCAGAGGCTGTGCTGCGGTCACGAGTGGTAACCTTGATGCTGCTTTACCCGAGAAGGGCCCCGGGGAGTTCTTGCTTGCCGAGGTAACAGTTCTTTCGACCAGATGCTCTTTGTCGTGACAAATCATTTTACTTGGTTTCGTGTGGCATCCAGGTCAGGAAAAGGAGGGAAGAACTTGCGGCTCTAGTCAGGAAAGATGGCGAGCGAGATCCACTTTGGAAGCAAAAGCTGCCGCTCTGGGCCGTGAGGAAGCTTCAGGGGCGTGAGTTGACGAAGACGATCATGGAGCTGAGTCGAAAGAGACGTTTGAAAGAGGTAATTATGCCATGGTATTCAGCTCGGCTTACGTTCTCCGTGTTGCATTGGACAGATTTTTGAGATTCTGGATTGTGCAAAGGAGAAGAAACTAGTGAATCGGAAAACTATGAACGCTGTGATGGAAGCATGCGTGCATTGTGGTGATATTCATCGAACCATGCAGCTTTTCCAATACATGGTACAACCAGATGCTTGTGGAGTTGACGAAATCACTTACGGCACTCTTATAAAGGTTTGCTTTCTTATCTGCATTGATGATATCATTGAGAATCACTAATTTTGATCATTAAATAGGGGCTTGGAAAGGCAGGACTTTTGGATGCTGCTTTCCAGATTTTGGAATCGATGGACCTTGGCACAGCTCCTGGCAAACCAAAACTTTCACTGATTCATCTCAACACGCTAATAAATGCCTGTGCCAATGCTGGTATTTGTATCTTTTGTTATTGTTTAGAAAGTTGATTGCTATACTCCCATACAGGGGATGCAAGGCGCGCTCGAGGTGCTCTTAAACGATACCACTCCGTAATAAAAGACGAAGGTCCGTCCCTGGTGACATACAATATGCTGATCAAGGTATACCAGTTTTAAGGTATGACTCACAAACGCTAATGCGTGCTATTCACAGGGGTACGCTCGATCAGAGAACCCTTTGGAGGCTCTAAAAGTTAGAGAAGAGATGCAGCTACGTGGAATGCAGTTAAACAAGCTTTCGTGGAATTCGCTTGTCATGGCATGCGTTAGAGGACAAGACATGGACGCGGCACTTGAGATTCTAGAGGAGATGAAGGTCTTTTGATTCTGGTTTTCTTGTTCGAATTTTATTAGTTACGTTCTCTTTTGGTTTGCCGTTTGCCAGGAAGCAGGGAAATACTCTGTAGATTTGGCACCAGATGTGGTAACGTACACGACCCTCATAAAGGTGTGTTGCGACAAGAGCTTTTAGCGAAAGGTGGCTCTCATTTGATCAGGGTCTTGCAGATGCTGGAAATCTGGACGGCGTGTTGAAGATGGTGGCTGAAATGAAAGCATCCACGTCTTGCGTGATAGATCGCGTTGGATACACTGCGATCATCGACGCTTGCATAACAGCTGGCTCGCCTACAGGTAGTACATTTGCTACGTTGGTACCATCTAGCTGATTCTTTTGTCTTTTAGACGCTTTGACATTCTTTCAAGAAATGGAATGTCTGGCAAAGGAAGATCGTCGACTAAGGCCACGAGTGCATGCTTTCCTTTCTATGATGAGGGCGTTTTCTGAGATAGGTGACGTCGAGAAAGTTTCGCTTCTCAAGTCGAGAATGGCTGTGGGATCTGCCGGGCACATTTGGGCGGAGGATCGACTAGAGGCAGATGAGCTACTAATCGAAGCTGCAGTGGTCAGTGGCGAGGTACATGTACGCTGTTTTACTTTTGACTTTATGTCAACACAGTGGCTCTCTTTCAGATAACTCTTGCACGGAACGTTCTGAAGAACATGACAAGCCTGAATAAAGCTTTACACTTGAGTCAGCGTGGATTCACGGTATGTGTATTCTTACTTAACCCGCTAATCTCCTCTCTTTGTAGGCCATCGTACGCCTCCAGGCAATGACTAATTTTACTGAGAACATGTTTCAACCATTCATTATAAGTGAACAGGTTCGGGTTTTTGCAAAGGTTTCGATTGGAGCTTTCTAAGTGCGATGCTTGCTGTCAGATATCATTGAAGGCTTCGTTGGAGAGCATCATTCCCAGCTTGAAGACTCTACAGCCGCTTTCGTCTTCCCAAAAGGTGAAGGATGTGCTGATGTGCTTCCTGGATCGAGATGTACTTCCTGTAGTGTCTGATGAGAACGGCCAGTGCATTGGAGCTGTTCATGCCAGAGACTGCAACAAGGTTGGATCTTTACAAGCTTCCTTTTTGGAAGAATCCTAACCTCGCTCTTTTGTTTCCAGGTGGATTCATTGCTTGTGGACGTCATGCAAGATCCTCCATCTCTGATACCAGGCACGGCATCAGTCAGAACCGCCATTGACTTCCTGGTTGCACCCCGAGTAACTTTGGTAGGAGTGAGTTCTGGGTCCGGGGAATTAAGCTTCCTCACGAGAGAGGTTCTTTTCAGCTTTTTGTCTCAATCTTCAAATTAATCTTTTCTCGCAAAGGACAGGTGAATTAAAGTATCATTCCCGTGATGGAGGTGTGTCATCACAGACGTGAGTCCGGTTAACATTTTCCATTCTTTTCTCTCGGCCTCCTTGCTAAAAACTCAATTTGTGCACGTCTCAGGCAGTCGCCCGTGAAGGAAAAAACATGGACCATGGCATGAACGTCGCGGATACCTTCTCCGTTGTTTCTCCAGCAGCTGCGGGTTGCTTGTGGCGCACGAAATGGGTACCGTGTTAAAGGGGTTTAGAAACTCGCCAGGTATTGTGCTCCTGATCGCTCGCAACGAACATGACAGGCTTTGGGTTTGGAGGATACCCGGAGGCAACATTGCCAGGCTCTTCCCAGATGGCTGCCGATGCTCCAGCAGCAGCGGCAGCGAAGTTTTCGAGCTTGGGACAGGGCGTCAACGTTGTCATGACAGCAGCCGGGGGTCTGCTAGTTCTGGTGGGATTCATCGCCTTCGGGATATGGATGTGCGGCCGCGCTTCCTCCGCTCAGAGTGCTCGCGTCGCGCAACAGGTGGAAGTTGTCAAGCCCGGCTTGAGCAAGGAGGCGATAGCAAGGATACCAATCACCAGCGGCTTTGCGAATCCAGAGGGGGGCACTAGCAGCAGCAGCAGTAGCGAGGCGTGCGCGATTTGCCTGGGTGAATTGGACGACAGGGTCCGGGTCCTTCCCAAATGCAGCCACGCCTTCCACGCCGAGTGCGTCGATATGTGGCTCTTCTCGCACAAGACTTGCCCGACTTGCCGGTCGGATCTCTCCAGCCTCGAGCAGCAGCAGCCAGATCAAATGGCGGTGGTGGTGGTGGTGGATTCCCGGTGACGATCGAGAGTTCTCTCGTTGCGGTTTCGCTCTCTAGCTCTTTCGCGTAGTCGTAGAGGCAGGAGGAGTTGGATTGTCATGTCAGTTGAAAGTCCGGACTGGAGATATCAATGTAGGAAGGATTGTCTCTATGCGATGAGCAGAGAGCTCTTATTTGGCTCGCATGGCATCAACGCTCGGCTTATATCCAGGTCGCGACGCGATAGAGAGACGATCGAAAGCGAAAGAAGTCGTGTGGTCCTGTAAACAATCAGAGCAAGGAGAACAAGTTCTTCTTAATCTATATCGGAGAACATATGTCCTGTAGATTGATATAAACGTGGCAAGAAGAAGAAAAAAAAAAATGGGACCCTTTCGTCCGAACAAAAGAGAGACCCTGTCAAAATGGAAGATAGTTTCTTTATCTTTTAAACATCGCCCATGGACAAGCAATCTATAACCCTGTCGAGATACGAACGATAGAAACTATTGACACTCAAAGCGCGTAGAGAAAGCTTCCGGGAATCAATCTCTCCACTCTTGGCCTCCAATTTGGAAGGCGGTAGCTTCAACTTCTAGGCAAAGGCCTTCTTCTAGAACAGGAAACTTTTGGGATGTGCACGGCCCTCCATGTCATAGCCCAAGTCCTGCGTTTCCCCCCACGTCATAGCCCCGGGAGAAGACGTGCGAGAACATAGAGGCGCGCGGAATTCCACCACGTGTCAGGCTCCAGCCGCCAAACCCAGCTTCGCGCGCTCTTGCCCTAAAAACCTCCCCTTCTTTTTCTTCATTTGGATATAAATTTAGGGCGGCAACAACAACCCGGAAAAACAGGGGGCTGTTCTTCTTGGAGCTCTCGCTCCTTGGGCGGAGAAAAGGAGGAATTTTCATGTTTCCATGGCGGATTGGAGCTCCGGAGGCTCGATCTCTTCGTTCGCGTGGCCGCCATTCCCGTCCAATGGCATGGAGGACGGGCAGTGGCCGCCGTGGCCGGGCGCCGGCACTGGCAACAACAATTTCTTTGGCTGGCAGGGGTTTGGATTCGCGAGCCCCAGGCGCAACGACGGCCTGGGCGCCGGGACGATCATCCTCGTCGCGGTGCTCGTCACTGGATTCTCGCTCATGACGCTCCTGCTGCTGCGCCTGTGGTTCTGCGGGTGCTCCCAGGACGACGACGCGCGGCGCGCGGGGAATTCGCAGCCCGCGATCGCGAACAAGCTCGCGATTGGGCTGCGCAGGGACGTGATCGAGAGCTTCCAGGTGGTGAATTACAAGGCGCTCGTCGCCATGAGGGGAAGGGAATCATCATCGAGCGCCCCGGGCGAGGGGGAGTGCTGCTGCCCGGTCTGCCTCATCGATTTCGGGGAGGAGGACAAGAGGATCAGGGTTCTTCCCGGCTGCGGCCATGGATTCCACACGGAATGCATCGATATGTGGCTCTTCTCGCACACCTCCTGCCCCGTCTGCCGCCGGGAGCTCCTCCCGCCATCGCCCAGCTCCAGCGCTCGCCGGGATGATCGCGTCGTCGTCATAGAGATCCCCCAAATCCATCCCCAAGAGCGTGGCTGATGATCGTGCCGCGTGGGCTCTCGCATTTCTTCGTTTTCTCCTTTTCGTGTTCTTTCCGGGGCATATTCGCGGCGGATATTCCAGGCTCTGCGCGTTCTGTGAAATAAGGCCCTGCTCGACGATCGATCCAAAGGAATCGACCGAGAGAAGTCACATGGAAATTTAGAATTCTTTTCGCTAGCTCGCTCGCTCGCTCGCTCGCAGCGATATCGATCGAACCAGCGTGTCAATCTCGTTGTCTATCCTTCGAATTTCATGACGAAAGGAAAAACAAAAAAAGTCGAGCGCTCCAGAGCAAGAACAGAGTTTTCTACGCTTTTTGGCCCCGTCGATAGATTTTTCTATTGGATTGGAGCAATGAGCTGGAGAGCGACGAATCAATAGTCGCTTTGCTTCGCTTCGCATGGCAGCACTGCAGTGGAGCCAAGCCAAAGTCTTCTTCTTCTTCTTCTTCTTTTATTTTGTCTTTGGAAGCACTTTGGAGGCTTTTGATGATGATCATGGCGATGACGAGGATTCATGATCCGGGCGCGCAATCGCTGTCGTTGGTCCCCGCCCGGAGTGTCGCATCTGACGGCGCGTGTTGATCGAGCCGCCCGCCAGTCGCCACCACTGCCTGTTGTTTAGCTTCCAAGCATTGTCGCAGCAAAGACCTATCTCTCCTTTCCGTGGCTAGCCATAACAAGAGAGATCAAAGTAAGCAAATCCCAAGAGCGCAATGGTGTAGCTATCAATCGCGAAGCTCGGTTTACTTGATTTTTCTTCTTTCCTTCCAGTCTCTTTCTCACGATCGATCGTAAATTCCTTCTCGCTCCAACTCCACTATGTATGAGGTCGCCATCAAATTCCTAGCTAGGCCTACCAGAAACTTGCATTGGATTACGTACAGAAGCCGGGAAATCGTCTCTCACAATCCAAAACAGTGAGATTTTCCTTTCTTTAATGCTCAAAGTTTTCCTCTCTTGAACAGTAATCCTAAAGACTAAAAGTCTAAGTCTTCTAGCAAAGGAAGTTTTGGAGATCTTGGCGCCAAGTAACCCCTTGAATTCACGAACATTAGGTCACCATCCATTTTCTGGGGTCGCTCTCCTACATCTACCAAGAGCAACAGGAAGAAAAACGAAACATCCGTAGAGAAATCAATGATTTTCTACTCTTGATTGATTAGCAATGGTGTTTATTCTCTGGCCATGGATGACGCTGGCAAACAGGGTCCTTGAATCGTTATTATAGTCCAGCAAACAAGAAGAATTTCAATTTGTACAATGCCAGGAAATGCGATGATTGATTGCGTGCTAGAAATTCGAGAACAGCTACACCAACTATCTTTGCCAAGAAAATTCACCCACACTCGCAATCGGTGGCTACCGGCGCGGGGGAGGATGGGGCGGATCGACTGCTGCGCCGGTGCTGCTGCCGATCGCAGAGAGAGCCCGAGGAGCTTGCGCCATTCGCGACGATCGATCCAGCGCAGGGTTGATGATCATCGGCCGCGATTCCCCTGCGGCACAGGGGGCAAGTGAGATACGAGCAAAGCCAGAGCTGGATGCATTGGGTGTGGAAGCAGTGGCCGCAGCCGGGCAGCGCACGGATCTCCCAGCTCTGAATTTCACGATCGCTCAAATCAAGATCTTCGGATTCCTCCTCCCCACCGCCAATCTTCCGCCCAAAATCTGTCAAGCACACCGCGCAGCACTCGTCCGCGCGCCGCGCATCGTCCGATGAGACAATGGGCAGCAATCCAACGGTCGCCTTGGCGCGCGTCTGGCGCTCTTGCGCCCCCACGGACGGCCCGATGCTTCCCTCCCCCTGCTGCCGTCCCCTCCTCCGCGAGCTAAAGCACCAGAAGAGCACCATGATCGAGAGGCTCGCCCCCATTCCACACAGGACGATCGCGACGCAAGTGAGAGTGGTGAGATGGAAGGGCTTGTGGTGGCGGTAGAGGTGATTGTGGATCATAGGCGCCGAATCGGGAGCTCCTTCTTCGCCAGCGAGTGAGAATAGCGAGAACCTTGCCATTTTTTCGCCGCGCCGCGGCTGCTGTCGATCGATGCCGATGTTGCGATGCGAGGGCTGCTGAGATTTCAATCGGGGAGGCAGTGATTTATCTGGATTGAGTGGAGGAACAGGAGCTCTAGCAGGGGAAATGGCCACTATAGGTATCGCCATCAAGAAATTCCAGAAAATTGAAAAGCAAGAGCTTGATGCGCTTGAAAAGAGAGAAGAATCTTCCTCTGCTAGGCCCGTAGATCAGGATCTCATCAGGATTGAGCGATTGCAGGGTTGGAATCGTCGGCTGGTTCTCGTCCCGTTAAATCCTGATCTTGGCGGTGATTTTCTTCTTCTTCTTCCTCCTCTCGTCTCGGTTCTTGGTGGACAGCGCAACGGCAGAGAGGGCAGGACGCGGAGGTCTGGAGCCACACATCGACGCAGTGGGGATGGAAGCAGTGGCTGCACCGCGGCAAGAACCGGATCTTCTCGTCGCCTGGCTGGTCATCGGAGAATTCCGCCAGGCACACCGCGCAGCATCCCACGCCGCCGCCAGCGCCAGCGCGGTTCTTGGAAGATTTGGAGAGGAGGTCTTGGAGAGTGAGGAGCGGGAGCTTGTTGATCTCGTGGGGCTCCAGCCCGGGCTTGGGGCGATGAGCGGCGGCGGCGTGGATGTGGATGTGGGCGAGGTTGGCGGCGGCGGCGGAGCGGCTGAGCACGACGTTGAGGCGGCGGCGCGGGCAGAGGAAGTAGAGGCCCAGGAGCCCGAGCAGTGAGATGAATGTGAGGATCACCATGACGATGAGCGTGATGATAGCGCCGTTGCTGAGATGGAGGATCTGGTGCTCCATTTCGCCGTGGTTGACGGAATTGGAGGAGGAATTGAGCTCCATGGGAGTGGAAGGGATGATCAAGGAGGAGAGATCAAATCAAACCTGACTACCAGGAGCAAGGAAGAAATCGATGCTCGATATATCCAGCTCTCTCCAACACCTTGCAATTGGGTTGCGATTTTAGTCTAGTTGCCGAATTTTGGTTTTTCCCGGGCCTCATGAATGGAGGAGACGCGGTGGTTCCACGAGGTGGGGATCCATCAAAGACGCGAATTGAGCGCGACCGCGGTCGCTGGAACGTCCACCGCCAAGCGTGCCCTAATTAGGGCTTTGGGGCGCGCCAAGCGTGCCCTAACTAGGGCTTATGCGGGCGCGGGGGGTTGAGGTGGGAATATGCCGCCGGCCGGCACGGCCTCAAAAACACCGCTTGACGCGAGCAGAGCAAGAAAATGGTGAGGATCCTCTCCGCGATTCCTTGGCGCATCCATGGGGTAGGCGGAGGCGGCGGCGGTGGCGGCTCGGTGGCGATGCTGTATCCTCCCAATGGCGGCTGCGCGGAGGTACGCGGTGGGGTTTGGTCACTCCCGGCAGCATGAAGAGAGCAAGAGATCATCGCGCAAGGGTTTGATGGTAGAATCAGCGGCAAGGGGGTACTGCATTGTCCAATGTCATCGTCTTCGCCGCCAACGCCACTGGCATTGCCGTGGTTTGATCAGCGTAGCGGCGGCACGATCGCGGATTTCCTCAGGAACAACAAGCCGCCGGAAGAGGTGCTGCTCAATTTCCTGGTCAACCCCTCGCCCGCGCCGAGGCCGTTGACTCCGTTGACCGGCGGCGGCGGCGGCGGCGAGCACGAGAGTCTGGCGATGGCGCGGCCCTGCGAGACGAGCCACGGCCCCGACTTTAGCGGCCTCTTGTTCGAGGGGAGCAGCATCAAGTCCGAGGATGACGCCGCCGCTGACGATGGCTTGAATGGAGAGCTCATCGCCTTTGATCAGATCGACGCAGATATGGCCAGGGACTCCTTCTCGCTCTTTGGTGGCGCCGCCGCCGCCGCCACCACCACCGCCGCCGCCATGGACGACAGTAGCAACGGGAACTCCCAGGACGGGATCGAGCTGGAGGTTTGCTCGCCATCCAGGAGTGTTGGAGCTGCCGCCGCCGCCAGCGCGCTGCTCAACTTCCCGCTCAACAACTTCCTGGCGCAGCATGGGAGCTCGTTCCTGGCCGCCGCGGCCGCCGCGGCCGCCGCCGGTGTTGCTCCCGATGGCTCGGAGCTCGTTGGTTTTGAGGTGGCTCCGGCCGAGATCCACGCACAGTCGTGTAGCAATCTCGTGGGGGACTGGAGCTTGCCACCCGACACCATTCTTCTTCCTTCTTCTTCGCACGGCGGCAGCCATGGCAGTGAGTCCAACAATGCTGGTAGCAGCAGCGGGACAAACAACATGGTTCATCAGTATAATCTCCAGTGCGGTTCTTGCCAGATCCTACACTGTATTATCCACTCAAATGGTACGTAACTTTCTTTTCTTCCTCCTTCTCTCGGTCTCTTTGTTCTTGTTTCTTTCTCTTTGTTTTTCTCTCGTCTGACTCGTTGATTACTATACACACTGCATGAGCTCCACCATGACTTGTACTAGATCAGTGCAGGAGTCCAAGACACCAAGCTTGAGATCCACGGATGCGACGGGCAGAGCTACAACGCCGTGCTGCACACTCGGTTTTGTGTGGACGATGGATTTCCCACCACCTTGGAGCAGCAGATTGTTGAGTAAGCCAAGCTCCCTGTGAAAGGTTTCTCTTTGTTGTCATCTTTGATGCTTTTCTCATTATGAGTTGATTAGATGCGTGCTTGTTTGTTCTTTGCAGGTTTCCAGTGGGTAACGCGGAGTATGTGAAGCAATTTCTACTCCAGTACAGCCTCTTGCGCAGGAAGGAAGGCTTCGTACTGCGGCACGATTCCACGGGGAGCTTTGACACGGGCGGAGCGTCCGGTTTTGGAATCGGGCCCGACTGTTTGAACGAGTCGTCCGCTTCTTTCCCAAAGCAACTTGGCCGCAGTTTGTTCTCGGACCTTCACTCCGGTGCGTTTTCTTGTTTCCTTGATAGGACAGCATGCGTCTTTCGTTTTGCTTTCTTCTTTTGTAGACATTTCTATTGCTTTCTTGCTTTTCCGGACACTGGTCCTCTTTTCCTTTTTCCTCTTTTATGTTTTTTGCTAAACCAACATGTGCTGAGCTCTGTTCTCCAACAGCCTCCGATACTTTGAACGCGTTTGGTAAGCAACATCTTCTGGGGCCGAGCAAAGCAAACCGAAGCAGCAGCTTGGACAGCATGGACCCTGGCGACGGTTCCAACTTGCCTGTCAAGCCTCCAAAGAGCAACGCTGCCGCACAGGTTTCCTTCTGTCGCCCCCCAGCCAAAGGGATGAGTTTCTCACTGTAAGATCACACCGGTGTGTTTGCTTTTGCTCCTCTCCTCACCGAGTGTTTTTGCACTTTCAGAGGGAAAGAACCGGCAAGCTCAAGATGTCCGATCTAGCGCAGCACTTCCACCTTCCTATAAATGCCGCCGCCAAGGAGCTGGGAATCTGTCCAACGGTGTTGAAGAAGATTTGTAGGAGGAACGGGATGCGTCGGTGGCCTCACAGAAAGGTAAGAATGTCTCTCTCTCGCTCTTGTTTTTTAATCTTTCCTCCATAGATTAAGAGTATAGAGCGGATAATCGCCACCTTGGAGCAGACAATAGCAGAAGGGGCTGGGCAAGGTGACGAAGGAATTCGTATGGAGATAGCGATGCTGCGGAACGAGCGTGCTCAGCTATGCGCGGGTTTGCTCGGGGAGACCTGATCCGCGGACAAGTTTTCTTTCTTGTCCTCGCGCCCCGGCGAGCCGAGCGCTGTATTATAATCAGATCTAGCAGCAGTAGCGCGCGAGAGAGCGAGAGCAAGCTAAACGAAGAGAAGAATTTTTTTTTTTTTAATCGGCTTCGTTGTGTACATCGTAGGAACTTGTTCGGTTGTGTCTTGAAGCTGTAATTACACTCCGTGTACAAAGTGGTCTCACTTCTTTTCCGATAGAAACTCCGGAAAAGAGGAGGAAGAAAAGAGAGTCGTGAAAACTGACCGATCCGACTTATCCTTTCCTCAACGACGTCCAAAGTTTGATATAGACACATTCCCGAGTGTTCTTTCCTTGGGCTCCTGTTTTCATGCACCACACCCATAAGTAGCGAACGAGACGAACTTGGAAAAAACTCAAGTGAGAGAGAGAGAGGAGTTTTTTCTTTTCTTACCCGAGGATCTTCAGGTGGAAACCACCTCGAGCAGCGGTTCCTTTTGCAAACTGTCGCGGCAAATCGGGCAGGAGCTGTGCGAGAAGAACCACATGTCGATGCAGTCAGTGTGGAAGCAGTGGCCGCAGCGCGGGAGGTGCCGAATCTCCGAGTCTCCCTTCCCAAACTCGATCAAGCACACGGCGCAGCACTCGACATTCTCTTCGCCGCTCTTGATCTTCACCAGCTGCTCGTAGCTCACCACCGGCAGCCGCTTCACTAGATCCTTGGAGAGTCCCAGCCTGGACTGGAAGCCGCCACCACCAGCACCAACGAGTTCCTGTCCCTCCTCCTGTACCTGCCTGTGACGCCTGTTGCGAGCCTCGACGCACTTGCACGCGTAGAAGAAGATGAGCAGCGACAGCAGCATGAATGCGAAGAGGATGGAGCAGACAATCACCACCGTGAGCCGATCGGTTGCCAGGGACGAGGAGAGTGGCGACGAAGATCTCGGGTCTTGCATTCTTCCCTTTCGCCAAGCTTGTCAGTCCCGCGTCGAGGAGAGAATTGGGGCTCCAGGTCATTAGGAGCGCAAGCTGACTTAGTGTTGAGCTGACACCGGAGTTAAACAGTAGCATTAGTCGGTCATCGTTGCAGAGAGCCACACACTGAGGAATCTGCCCCCTCAAACCAAACCAAACTGTAGCGTCTGGCTGGATAGCTTTTACGTCGTCTCGATCCTAGCAATCAGAATCCCGTCATGAGATCACACCAGCGAAAAGAAAAGAAGGAAAATGGAACGTACCTCAGACGCCGATCGAGGGGAATAAGCCACCGACGTCAGCACGCTTGCAATTTGCTCGGCATCTTCTCGAGGAGAGGGGGCCCTTCCCTCCTTGTCTCTCAGTCGGAATCACTTACTTCTAAATCGATGCAGACCCTCTTCGGCGAACGCAAACAGGCGGCTTGTAATACTGACTTGTCAAGCTTTCTTTTTTGCGCGAACGTCGGCAGCGTGGTTCTAGCCGTTCTCGTAGAATCTCTCTCCTCCTCGGCGGCAGCTGATGGTAAAATCGAGTCTATAGGAACTACTTTACCATCGATTTGGCACGTAAAAACGAATGAAACCTGCTCCACATCCACTTTCAGTCAAATTCTTAAGGAGACACTGCGCACTCACCTCTTCACCAGCAGCCCATTGCAAGATGACATCAGGGACTGTTGATGGGTGCGAATGGTGAGCCCAGCGTATCAGGTCCTCTTCGGCAGGCTCACCTATCTGGCGACAGGAAAAAGAAAAAAACTTTTATCTATGCATTGACCATCGAGTAGACCTCCAGACCTGTTTCTCCCAATGCCTTTGCCTCTCCAGACAGCCGGCAGTCTTAGCGAAAGCGCCTATATCACCTAGTTGATTAGCTAGTTCATTTGGAACATTTTCAACATCGCAACGTTCACAATCAAGCGTGTCATGTGTATCAGAACTGGATAAAAAACGATTTAATGAGCCGCGAGGAATTCCTAATCCATTGCAATCACCTTATGTCGCGAAGGGTGAACAGATCCCTCAAATCTTCTGTGGATAGCGCGTTGACCTGGAACAGAAGTACTACAACTCTCTTCAAAAATTTAATCAGCTTTCGAACCTCAGCTTTGGAGTCGCCACTGATCACCTTTTGAAGTCCTTCCTTCGACATTTGACGCTGATAAACCTGCTTGCGACAAGCGTGTTAGAAAAAGTAGCGCTTTCACAACTACACCTTTATGCTACCTTCTCTTCGATTGTACCAGTTGCTAAAAATCGATAGATGTACACACGCTTCTTTTGGCCATCTCTCCAAACACGCGCTGCTGCCTGCATCCTAGTTAAAGCAATGATATTCAGAACGTTTCTGTTACCTGTTTGTCATTTGCCGGATTCCAATCAGGATCAAATAGAACCAGCCGGTTGCCGCCAATCAAGTTTAATCCACATCCACCGGCCTTGCTACTCAGTAGGAAAGCGAATTCGTTCTGTTCACCGACAGTTTAACGTTGGATAAACGAAATGCATTAAAGTCAAAATAACCTGTGACGGATCATTGAACTTTTGCACCAGCTTTTGCCTTTTCCCAATCGACGTACTTCCATCAAGCCTTACATAGGGATAGTTCCGTTCTCGACAGAGTTGAGCAAAGAGATCCAAGGTCTGAGAGCAAACATTTATTTAAATTTAGAGGAATTTTTTTTTCTTACCTGTGTATAATTCGATACAAGCACGATCCTATCGTTTGTTTTCTTCCGTAGATTCTCCAGTAGACGAGCTAGAACAAACATTTTTCCAGACAACTTAACCCAGCTTCCGTCGGAAGGAGTCCCTCTGTCAGGGTACCATGTCATATACCCTGTTAGATGAAACTATGGCTTTTGATAAGGATCTACCTTCCAGTCTGCATCTCCTTCGGAAAAAATTGCATGCAATTCTCAAAGCCAGCGGCTTCTGATCCGCCCGCACGAACAGTGTCATATATCAGCTGCAGGCAAGAGTTTGAAACAATGACTCGCTGCGAATCGATCTACCTTTGGATGGCTGCAAAGCTTTTTCAAAGCCGTAATTGATGCAAGGACACGAGCACGTTTTGCTTTGTCTTGCAATGCCAGACGGACCTGCACAACATGGAGTTCAGAATGAAGCTAAATGCTCAGAAGTTTGCATACATTCTTTGAGTGTATAAAGTGTGTATACAGCTCTCGTTGCAGGTTTGTCAGCTTGCAGCAAACTACCTCCACGATCTACAAATTTAGATAAAGTTAGCGATAAAGTACCAAAGCTTTATTCACCTTGGGAGGAAGATGGTTGGACAAAAGTGCATTCGTACGCCGAAGTATGAACTATAAGACAACCAATTTCAGTTCAGTATCAAAATCTAACTCTCAGCTGCATACTTGATTGACTTTCTCGCTTAGCTCCGCAGAGCGCTCCAATCCTAGTTTTCTTGCGTCTTCTGTAGCCTCAGGCTCACGACCGCGAAGAATAGGATTCTAGACCGATACAAACACTCAAAATACCAAAGGAAAAACTGCCGCTGTTTACCTGATAATACCGGCGAAATGCAGCCACCTCGCCTAGAATGCCAGGATTCGTAAAATTCACCATAGCGTAAAACTCTTCTAGATCATTCTGCAAGAGAAAAATGATGTACTGCAAGTAATTATATTGAAATGCGGACCTGCATTGGAGTGCCAGAAAGTAGAACTCTCCTATGGCACTGAAGACTAGCAAGTGCCTAAATTACCAACCCCTTAGAAAAAACCAAAACGACATATGTAAAAAGCTCACTTGATTTGTTAGAGTGTGGTCGTTCTTCAGCCTGTGTGCTTCGTCACAAATAAGAAGATCACAAGCACCTTCTTTCTGAAACTTGCCCGCATGCAATCTAAAGGTTTCGTATGAAATTATAAGAATCTACAGAAACTCCTGCCCATGATTAGAAAATTTACGTTTGAAAAAAAATAAATTGAAATACCTGAAATGCATTCCTGGGTGAAAGAAAACTGGCCACGTCTTGAAGAACTTCAGCACGTGATGCCTCGCAAATTGCAATGACGCTAGCGCGCCCACCAAGCCACTTCTTGATCTCAGACTCCCAGTTACTTACCAGACTGGTGGGAGTGACAATGATAATCCGCTTAGCTATTGGCGATCCTTGGAAACCTTGTCTCAATAATGTCCAAAGAAGCGTTATAGACTGCAACGTTTTCCCAAGCCTGGAAATAAATCGTTAAAGGGGAAGGCGTCCAACAACTGAACAGACCCCATGTCATCAGCGAGAATGCATCCAGACCAAGCCGCATCGCCAGCTTTTGAGAACTCGCGAAGGCCAGTTACACACTCAAACATGAACTGGACGCCTTCCCTGCATATACATTCCATTGTGAAAGGAAACAGAACCAAGAAAGGGGGAAAAAAAACAAAACAACAGAGTACCTTTGATGTGGTCGAAGGAACTTCGCGACAATTGGATCGACCACTATAGTCGCACCATCCTCGTTTCCATCAGGCTGCCACAGCACCAAAGGCTCGAAGTCATCCGGAAGCTCTACACTCCCTTCACTGGGATCCTCTTGAATCGGCAGCGTCTCAACATTGGGACTCAAGGGAAGTAGAGGCTGTCTCTTCCAAGGAACAAATCTTTTCCTTGCGGAGAGGCGCCGAAGCAGCTCGTCACTGTTGCTCTGCCCGCCAGGACACGGGGACTTGAAAGGCCTCCTGATCACGGCAGCGCCGTCTGTGACAGTGAGAACCTTTGGAATCAATGCCTGTCGCTTCACAACCAAGTCTCCCCTGAAAATAAAATTTAAAAAACCAAGATGAGTGTGAAATGTGCTCAAGAAGCCAGAGATTATCTCACCTCAGTAGCGCTGCCACATTCTCGGACTTCCTGTTCTCTGGCGTGGCAAGATCTTCTACCCCTTCTTCTTCCTCCTCATCGTCCTCGAGCTGGAAATCTTCATCGTCCATGGCCGCGCCGCAAACCCTAGCTAGAGAATCGCGCAATCTAGGCGCACTAAGCGAACCTTACGAGTGATCCACGGGCGAGGCGAGGCGGCGACGCGAAACCCTCCCTCTGCTCAGGAACCCTAGCTACTAAACTTCCCGCCAGTACAAAAAGATATTCGTCTAGTATAAAATTCAAATGATTAGGGCGGTCTCCCTTGTCTCATTCTTTTGTTATTGTTTATTGTTGTTCGATCAGTGCGGACAGCAAGATGGGAGGAGTGATTCGAAGTGATCATAGATCTTACAAGTTACAAACGCTTCTTTCTCTTGCGAAGAGATGGGCACATTTTATTTTCTTTGGGAGCACGAAGTGTGTGAGCAAGCAATACGTGTCTCACGCCAACAATGTGTGTGGCGATAGGCCGTGTGGGTGATTTTGATATGGATGCGTATGGTGCGCGTACGATCAGTTAACTCCCTCTGTTCTTGCAAGCTTATCCGATCTTGATCAAGTTTGTCAGTGTCATTTCTTGGTCTCTTCCCGATCCACCTCGCGATCCCGATCGGTGCGAGCTCCAGGATCAACTACAATGACGATTTGAAGCTCGGATTGCTCCGATTGCTCTGGTGGTGGCGGTGGTGCTGCTGCTGCTGTGTCAGTGGCAGTCGACTGTGATTTGCTCCCGGCGGCGGTGGCGGCAGCGGCGACCAAGCTCGTCCGGCAAACGGGGCAGAAGAGATGCTTTTGGAGCCACTCGTCGACGCAATCGCAGTGGAAACAATGGGAGCAGTGCGGAAGAAAACGGAGTCTGTCACTGGCAGGATCCAGGCGGCTCTGCTGCTGCTGGAAGTCTGTGAGACAAACAGCGCAGAATTCGCCACCCTTGATCCGCCCTGCCACCTCGCCCGCCCCCACAACCGGGATCTTCTCCAAGTGCCCCGCCACCGCCGCTCCTCCTCCTCCTCCGCCGCCGCCGCCGCCGCTCCATTGCGAGCTGCCGCTGGCGGCACTGCTGTCGCCGCCACCGCCGCCGCGGTCCAGCGACACATACCTGCAAAAGTAGAAGGCGAGCAATGCGAGCGTGCAGACGATCGCGGCGGCGCCAATCGCGAGCGCCGAGGTGAAATTCTGGCCAATGTCATAGCCCGAGAGCGTGGGCGCTACGGCAGAGGCGGCGGAGGCAGCGGCGTTGGGAGGTGGCGCGCCAACCATTTCTATCTTCCGGGAGATTCCAGCCAAGAACCCTACGAGGAACAAGTTCTCGACCAAAACATTCCGCCCGTTTCTCCGCATTAAAAAGGAAGCCAACCATATATAGATCTAGCTGGCCAAACGTATAGCCAACGGAATATGCACCGCCACATGGAGCAAAGAGAATCCGCCACGTGGCAGAGATGGTCTACCGTACGGTACGGTGCCGTGATTTTAGCTCAAATGAAGAATTCTTTTCCCGGGGAAATCTAATGGGAGGTCCCGTGGGGTCAGAACTTTGTCAACGCTGGAGCCTGGAGCGACCGACACAAATCAATGCCAGAGACTTGCATTGTTTGTTTGTATCCTTGTTCCAGTGGATAACGCTAGAGAACTCGCGAGCCAGATCTCCACGTCTCCTTTTTTTTGCCCGTGGATGAATGGACGAAGGCTCGAGAGAGATGGAGGTGGAGCGGATGGCGATGGCGCAGCGGCGGAGAGGCTGCCCAGTACAGAGACCACGCGCAAGGAATTGATTGTTTTGCCACTCGAAGATTCACGCACCTAGTAGAAGAGTTTGGGCGAATCTTCATGACTTTGCTCCGAGAGCGACGGTTGCTTTGGCTATGCTTTATCAAGAAAGGGAGAGGGAGAAAAAAACAAAACTTGCTCCTCAAGGCTTTCCGTGATCTTCTTTGGCTCCTTGAGGAGCATCTGCTTGATCTGCTTGAGGAGTGTCGGCTTGATAGTGATCGTTTGGAGGATTGTCAGCGCGGCTGAGCTCCTCGAGATGGGCTTGGATGTCCACACTGCGAGCTTCATCCGGAGAACCGTCGCTCTGGTCGTCAACTTTGCTGCTGCGTTTGAGCTCCTCGAGTTGGGCACGTACGTCGGCATTGAGATCGAATGGAATTTTGTTCTGCTTGAGAGCCTGCATATAAGTGTAGAGCTCGTCCATGGTCAGCTCTTGAGACTTTTGATTCTGCGATAGCTCCGGGTGCGTCGCGAGTACTTGCTGGGTCACACTCTTTATCCTGTTCGTGGCTTCTTCACGCTGCCAGAGTCACAATTCAGGAGAAGAAAGAAAGAAAGAACGAGAGACAATCTTATAAACACTCGCTCACCGCCTGGATCATCACTTGCTCCTTTTTCAAGATCTCCTCATGGAGCGTACGGAAGACCTTTAACACCATTTGCTCCTGATTCCGCCGAGCTTCCTGCATCTGGCGATCGAGAAAACCCACCAAAGCGATCACTCCAGGCTCGCTTCCAAGTATCTGGCATTTGGGCTCTCACCTCGCGAAGCACCGGATCTTCTCCCTTGAACACTATCGAAATGATTCTTCTCACGCTTGTGACCCACCGCATTTTTCTAGCCTCCGTGCCCTAAACCCCTTCTTTGGATCCAAGCTAAATAACAAAAGTCTGCATTGCTTTAATCATAGCCTCTGGTTGATACATCCAGAGCTCCTCCTTGTCTTTAAAACTTGCCATTGATCTAGATATAAGTAACTTGGAGAGAATGAGGAAGATAAATGGCTATGTTTCTATCCTCCTCCTTATGCTCGTTGTCTATGCTTTGAATGTGAATGGAAGCAAGGGTATGATCTCTACACATTTTTCTCTGATTTTCTGATTAAATTCGTAAATTTTCTTGTGCAGATAGATGGGATGAACTTCTGAGAACGGATGCTGAGCAAGCCAAGAGCACAATCCAGCGTGAGGTCGGAGCTGGTGTTGATGTTATAGTGCTTCCAGAGGACAGTTTTTACACTGGTGATTATCAGTGGAATAGAGTGAGGATTTTCAAAGATAAAAACAATAAGGTATCCAAGGTTCCAAAGAGAGGATAGAAAAATAACTGTGGCCCAAGATAAATTTAATCTTAATATTTACAAAAGTGGCACAATTATTTTAAATAAACCTCATAGAAATATATTTCCATTCATTTGTAATCTGATTATATATGAAGGCATTATTCCACAATCCTCCCATTAGTTTCCTAAAAATGTCTTTATGGTTTATTGTTCTTGTATCATTCTCTTTAATTTCAAGCCGTGGCTGGGCACTGAAAGTCTTGTCCGTCTACAAATTTGGTAACTCTTACTCCAACACTGGCAACTAGGACGCTGGATTTCCATACTTCAACATCTTCACAATTCCCAGATCCCATCACAACACTGCCCCTACAGCAAGGATTTTATCGCAACAATCAACACTCCCAGGGAAGGTTTTGCAATGGATTGACTACCTCACTGATTACCTCGGCTTCCCTCTCCTGTCCCCATACTTGTGGAGCATCACCATGGCCTCCAACTTCTAATGTGGTGCAAACTTTGCCTATGGAGGATCCATGGCTGCCTTGGTCTATGAGAACCATAACCCCTTCGATCTCAATGTCCAGGTCTTCGAGTTCTTGTGCCTCCAGCACTTGGCCAACACCACCTCCGGATCCCATCGCCAGCTTAGTTTTTGGACACCTTCTTCGTGATCCAAGCTGGCTCTGCAGACTTCACCTACATGTGAGGATGTAGTATATTTGAGATCACCATACGACAGAGACACGTGGCGACACATGGTGGATCTGGAGAGTCACGACTCTCACCTGTGTATGTATGTGTAACCAACAAAAAAAAACGACTTGAGAGACTATCCATGGTGTTCAAATATAGAAAAAAAGGGCCCATGAATAAAAGTGCACCTCTTTTTCCAATCGGTTAAGGGTTTTGGGATATTTAAGGTTAAACGTCCTTGGGTTTGAATAGTACTGGGTTAGGTGACTTCCTAGGAAGTCTAAATTCAGGAGCTTACAATATGGCCATGATGATATCTGAGCAATAGAGTTTTTTTCTTCTTCCTTAGTCTTCAACATGGTATCTGTCAGGAATCCCCCAATTCTTGCCACATTCCTGACTCTCGCCGGATTCCTGACCTGCAGACCACATTCCTGACTCTCGAGACACTTCTCTATTCCTGACTCTCGAGACACTTCCCTATTCCTGACTCTCGAGACACTTCCCGATTCCTGAGTCTCGAGCCACATTCCTGATGATGATGTGGCGCCTCCTCGACCTCAGCTGTATTTAGGCTGTCCTCGATCCAAGAGTGGTGGAGCTTCATCAACCTATAGTATATATAGGTTAGCCTTGTTCCATTTCTCCACAATCTGAATCAACACCAGTTTAAAGCCTCTTTTTTGTTTTCACTAGCTTTTTCTCTTTGTCTTTAGCATTTTCCAGTCTTGATCTTGTTGGGGGTCTTGACAGTTTGATTCAGATTGTGTTTTTTGCTTTTCTTTTAGCTTGTTTTGATTATTTGATTGCCTTTGTCTTTTCCCCCCTTTCTTTTCTTTCTTCTTGCCAATGGAGTCTCCAAGCCATCCTGATTTCTTTGCCGAAGTCCTTGCAAAAATCCAGTCTGAGAATACCGAGCTGAAGGCGACCCTTCTTCGCATGCAGCAGGAGCTTGCTTCACTTTCGGCTCAAGGATCCAGCAAAGTTCCTGAACCGAAGGTGAGTTTCCCGGCGAAATTTTCAGGCAAGCGTTCGGAGCTTCGTGGATTTTTGAATCAAATGGAGCTGATCTTTGCACTTCAACATCGGCGGTACCCCACTCCCGAGTCTCAAATCGGCGCGATTGGGACGTTGCTCGAGGGTGCAGCTTTGTCATGGTTTTCTCCTCTTCTGGAGAAGAGCATGAAAGGGGTCGTGGTTCCGGAGCTGATGGATCTTCAATTGTTCAAAGAGAAGCTCGAAGCATGTTTTGGCGAGACGGATCGGGTTCGGGCTGCTACCACAAAGATGAGACGTCTCTCTCAGGGGTCTCGTCTTGCCTCGATCTACGCTGCAGAGTTCCAACTCCTTGCCTTGGACACTCAGTGGGATGAGCGGGCCCTGATTGACCAATTTCGTTTCGGCCTCAACAACGGTGTCAAGGATTTGTTGCTCACCATGGAGGATCCCAAGGACCTGTCGGACGCCATCAACAAAGCTGTTCGATGTGACAATCGTCTCTTTGAACGTCGTCAGGAAAGTCGTCGCGCCGCTGTTTTTCCGTCCCAGACTCAGGAATCCCAGCTTGAGTCTTCGGGGCATAGTCCTGAACCTACTGCTCCGGTCCCGATGGATATTTCTGGTACTCCCCGACTCATTAGAGGGAAGTTGAGTCCTGCTGAGAGGCAACGTCGAATATCTCATAATCTTTGCCTCTACTGTGCTGATCCTAATCACAAAGCAGCTGTGTGTCCCAGGAAGCCTCCCCGATTGCTCGAGTTCACTCTGCCTCAAAGTCCACCACTGTTGCAGTCGGGAAACGACCCTGTCCAAACAGAGTAGGAGCTGTCTGTTTGGACTCCCCAAATAAAAATCACTTTTCTTCCTTATCAAGCTCCTCACCACCTTTCATCAAAGCCACCACCAATTCTTGCAACTTCCGCGTCCCATGTCTCCTTTCTTTCACCGGACAATCAGGACTCAAGGCTTTGGCGCTACTGGACTCGGGTGCAACTTCCTGCTTCATGGACACGGACTTTGCTGCCCGACATCACGTTCCTCTTTCTCCTACCATACGGGATCTGAGGGTTGAAGGCATCGGCGGGCATTTTGTGTCTCCATCTTCTGGACTTAGGGAAACGTTGCCCGTTCGAGTACACATCGGGTCCACCGTCACCGATATCGCCTTCAACATCATCAACAGCAAGTCTTCCTCTGTGGTGCTCGGTCTTCCTTGGTTCCAACTACATCAGCCTCAGATTTGTTGGAAGGACTTACAGCTCATCTCTCCCACATCACCATCTCCCACGGCTTCCCCTGGTGTTCATCGAGTCCGAATCAGGAAAAGTTCCCTAAACTCAAGTCGGGGTTCTGTTCCTGACTCTACGCAGTTTTCATCCTCTTCTTTTTTCTCTCTTCCATCTTACACTGGACAGTATCCTCGTCTCATCATTCCATTTAGTCGTACTCCTCCTCCTATCTCCACAATCACTATGAAAGAAGTCCTTCATGAAGAACCTCTTTTTCTTTTTGCTTTGCATGTTTCTCCTGTCAGACTTCCTGAGAAGTATCATGATTTTGGGGATGTGTTTGACAAGAAAAAAGCTAGTG